CATAGCAAAGGTATGGTCAATTAGCATCTTTGTCTTTTATTAGTGTAGATAGGTACAAATAATATATGTGTGTTCTCCTTACTTTCACATGACATTTTCACATGAAGGGAGCAGTTCTTTTTAACCAAGGAGTAAGCGGGCAAATTGCCCAAGTGCCCCGACATCAGTTTTCTTTGCTATAAAACAAGGCATTGGCTTAAAAGGTTCCTAAGGTCCTGTGAATGTCTGCTTTTCCCCAATAATGTTAACACGTAGATTTTTCATTTTTACATTCTCTAAATTTTCTTTAATGTGCATGTTTTTCTTTTTAATATGAAATAAACCTCTAAAAGGAAAAGCAGAGACCAAAATTAAATATTTTGTCCTTTCTCAGGTTCTGGATTCTGGGCAGAAAAAGTATTTCTGTGCTAAAAATTTTACTTATGTCTTTTGTGATGTGTTATCAACAATGAAAAAAGTGTATGGTGTTGAACCTAATTCTATGTGTTGTATTTTCAGTTTCAGAACCTACCTCAGTTGACTGGCAGCAGCATCCTTCCAGCTTTGGATAATAAGAAGTACTACTATAATACCAAGAAACTTAACTACCGTTTTCCAAACATTTAAGGAGCTTGGAGATGGATGACAAAAAAGAACTGATCAATAACCCCCAAGAAAATAAAACATACATTTGACTGAAGACCATCACAATGTTGAGAAAACATAAGTAACTAACTGGTGGAAGCCACTTGGCAAGATGTGAAGGGAAATTCCAGAAGCAATCTTCCATGCTTGATGATGGTATCCAGAATAGAAAGGAAAAACTCGTTTGATTTCCACTTGTGTTTTTGTTATACCTAAGTAGCTGGACTTATGGACAGACATATAAATAGTATCTACTGCCCATTCCTCTGGCAAAACTAGTCACGTAAAAAAGATTTATGCTTCAGTTGTACAATATGCAACAAGTGAAAAATAGATTACAAAACACCCAAATGTATTTCCTTGGATCCTATCTCCTGCTTTTTCAGATTGCTTCAACATCATATTTAAAGAGTTTTTGTTCTTGAAATCAAAATATTTAAAATCCCATTTCCTGCTTGCTCTATCTCTTGGTTTTTAAAAATTTAAACCATTTTTTGGAATATTTAAGAGTTGTTCAAAATATTTAATATCATGGATTATCACAAAAGACTAGCATATGCTTATATATTTAGTGATATGTTTATAGATATTTGCCCCATGTACTTTTGTCTTTACCTTTAGTAAAGGATTCATCTTTGTCACTTTTTCAGGCAAGATGGATTTACTATATCCATCTACATTTGTTCACTCAATTCCCCTTGCTAACAATGGCATGAAGATTGGCAGCTGCCAAGGTGATCAAGGAGTAGAACAAAACCTATAGGCTTGGCAAGAACTACACCTGCCAGCCTAAAAGCATTTAGAACTTCATTCTCTCCAGCTCAGCTTCAGGCTTGGAGACAGATCTGCAGGTAGGGCTATAGGGATCTGGGTTTTGGAAGAAATTGCTTGTGAGCTTTTACTTGGGTCATGAAAGACATTAAGTTGTAAACCTAATATATATACACACAGGGTGGGGCAAAAGTAAATTTACAGTTGCTTGTATAGAAGACAATACAATAATAATATAAGAATAAACTGAGTTTCATGTTTTCATAACTGTAAACCTACTTTTGCCCCACTCTGTGTGTGTGTGTGTACACTATGATAACTAATAATAAAAATGTAGTCTAAGTGCTGATGGGTGGTAAAGATCGTCAGCCTGAGCATCGAAGGGTCTCAGGTACCATTTCTGGTCAAGGGCACATACCTGGGTTGCAGATTGGATCCCTGGCCTGACCTGGTTGGGGTGTGTGCAGGAGGAACTAATTGAGTGTCTCTCTCACATCAATGTGTGTCTCTCACTTTCTCTACCTCCCTCCCTTTCTTCCACTCGCTCTCTAAAAACCAATGAAAAAAATATCCTCCAGTGAGGATTAAAAAAAAATGTATTACTAAGGATTCCTAGCTTTGCACAGTGATACTTAAAATGACAAAATTAGCTCTGCTTTGGCCTATTGCTCCTATACGAACAGCTTTTTCATCCTTGTCACCTGGACACAAGGGCAATATAAAATTCTGTTTCTTGTAACTCAGCCATTTTTGGTTGATGTGATGCTACTATTTCCTAGCAGTTCTCAGCCATGGTTTTAAAAGTTGTATTTGACTGTATCTTCGAAACATTTCTTCTACACCCTCAGTTTACTGCTATGTTAATTTTCTTCATGAGAGCATTAGACCTTATTACTTACAGCTAAGTAATCCACCAAATTCTGACAACTGTTCAATCATTTTGGCTGCCCAGCCAATTTAATGATATCCATAGTCTTCCTGATATATGTAGCTTCTTGCGTAGAGCTGATAGTAAGCTGACTAATCCCAGTATTAACTAATTCTTGCTATGTAGCCTTGATTCAAAGGACAAAGAAGGATATCCAACTTCTGTGACTAGTTTACATTTGGTGTTTTTCTTCTTTTCCTTAACACAAAACAATGCACTTGACAAGGCAGATGACTATAACTGCCTAATTAATCTAATAGTTTTACAGAAAACCACTCAGAATAGAAAAGTAGCTCCAGACTAAACTGTGGTGAATCAGTTGCTTCATCATACAGTAATCAAACAAACGAGACAGAAGTGCTTATTTTTTATGAGTTCTATTAAATGTATGCTTATGTTTAACCATATCTGTAATCCTTTCTTCACATGGAATCACCACTTTCACATGAAACTATTCTATATCCTTGTCTTTTTTGTAAATGTACTAATTTCTGATTTTTTAAAATGACAGTGGCAATTATATTAGTAAATAGTGTATCATTTATGGTATGTGCTATTTATATGAGCTAGTTTCTGAACACAATTAAAATTCATTTTTCTACCTAAATTCTGTATCATAGAAAGTGTTTATTTTGACATTATTTGCAAAGTTATATTCAAACCAAATGTACAGAAATCCACAAACAAGTTGGCATATAACTAACAATAACTGAATCAGGGCCACTTTAAGCAGGTAAAAATAAAGATATATTTTTATCTACTTAATAATAATCTTTAACACTGTTTTCTAGATATAAAATGAATTTTGTCTTTATGGTATCCTTGAGCTCACAGGAAATAATATCCACTGTATATGGGGAAATAAAAATCCATTTCTAATTGACATGTTAAAGTTTTCTGTTTATAGCAATTTTTTAATTTAAGCAAAAAGTAAGTGCTGGTCTTCATGATTGTTTCCTCTATTCTAATGCAATCAGCAGAACTATTTTAATTCAGCCAAGTATTTATGTCTACTTATAATAAAATACCAGACTAAGCTTAGCAAATAGACAAGTTAGCCAGAAACTACTCATTCAGAGAAAAGGTGTAAACACAGGAATGCAGAATTATGAGAAAGGCATGCAAATCCTGAGAGCGATATGAATGCCTCCACAACTACTGACTTCTTGGCATAATTGACTTCAATGAATCTGAAATTTAGCTTTCAGTTTTCCAAAATTATACATTTATAGTAACATGCTTCAATAACTTTAAAGTGCAACATAAATTACTGTTAAAATACAATCAAGAATATCTGTGTTGTACATTTAAATGTCTTTAAAGAATTCTAAGTCAGTATCTACATCGAGATATCTATATAAATATTTATATAAAATGAGTAAATTAGAATTAAAATGTTACCTAGTTTGCATCACTTCAGTTTAGTAACTTTAATGAGTCTCATCTGAATATTTATTTTCTACATGATGGACTTTCTGCTTTTAAAATATCATGATATGACATCCTTATAGTTCTACTGATGCTTACATAATATTCGTTGCTGTTTAGGATCAATTTTAAATGATACTTTATATTGAATAAGGCACTTATTGATGATTATTATTTTTGCTTCAAGTCTAATTTTAGTTCCAGATAAGGTAGTAATGCCTTAAAGATTTTAACAAGGTTTTCTTTCTCTCTTATTCCAGGAAGATCACTTAGCAACAAATACCTGAGGTTTCTGTAAAAAAAGAAAGAAGTTACTTCAATTTGGCCTTTACTCTTATAGCATTAAAACTAAACTTGATTTATTGACTTTTAGAAAAAACTACAGTCATAATATGTATATTTGTTGTTCAGAATTACACCAATAATTCTATCTGAATCTTTCCAAATACTATATGTATATTATGGCATAGAATACCTTTGCCTGAGAGAGATAAAATATGAATCTTAACCTAGAGAGGGAAACAAATTAGCGAAGTTCTTAAAGGAATTCAAAATGAAGCCTTGAAGCCTCAACTAATGTAAGAAACAAATAATCTAGTATTTTTGGTTCTAATGTTTAAAATTTCTCAAACTCCCTGTGATAGGTTATTGGCAAAACATGGAAGAAATTAATTTAAAAAGTGGAGAGGAAGCATAATAGCTAATGTTTGAGAGCTTACTGTAGCAGGCACCATGCTAGGAACTTTACTTAGATTTAATTTTTTAAGCAATATCCCTAAAAAATGCAATAAAACCATAATGTAGTAAAGTTGATCATTTCAACTGTTTTAAAGTATTAAAGATGAAAGTTAAGTCATTTTCTTTTATTTTTCAAAACAAGACACCATCCCTCAACTGATTTAAATTCTGATTTTTCACCTTAACATCATTATCAAGTTTCCATTTTGGCACTGACCACCTACCTTAAATTTTGCAAAGCAATGATGCCTTTGTCTGTGACATTCCCACATGAAATTATTTCCATTTCCAACAAACTTTTTTGTAAATTTTCAAGTTGACTAATTCTCTCCAAACAGTCATCCTCGATATAATGACACTTGCATAGCCTTATTTTTTCAACATGCTGTAGGCCCTCTGGGAGGAAAAAAGCAGTTGAAGAACCTGTTTTACCATTAAAATAACCAACTCTCCTAGTTTTCCCAGGGCTGTTCTGATTTTAGGATTGAAAGTCCTATGTCCTGGGAAACCTCTCAGTCCCAGGAAAACTGGAACAATTAGTCACCTTAATAACCATACATGGTATTCACTATACAAGTTGTGCTGATAGGACCATTTTGCAGTGAAACATCCAGGCACTAGTGG